TTTCCCGCCCTCTCTTCTGCACCCTTTGTTTCTAGTAGGCCTATTGCACAGTCGTCCCCCCCACCCCACCCCACCCCCGCCCCCCATAAAACTCTTGTACTGGGTTTCATTGTACCTCATGTTCTCTCTCGCCCAGTACGTAGTGCCGCAAATAAATAACACACGGCCCTGTGGCAGGGCTGAGTGGGTGTTATCTGGCCCCAAATGTTAGAGTTTTGTGGACATTTGCCACATTATCTTTTTCTTTATTCTTTTTGTTCGGCCAAGAGGATTAATTATGGGGAGAAGCAATGGGATGAAACTAAATAAAAAAAATTAGAAGATTTAGTTTGAAATTTGTGTGTGTGTGTGTGTGTGTGTGTGTGTGTGTGTGTGTGTGTCTGTATCTATAGGGGCCAGAATATGGTGTCAGATCACCTAGACCTAGAGTTTACAAGTGGCACTGCGAGGTTGCTGGAACCAAACTTGGGTCTTCTACGTGTGCAGCAAGTGCTCTTCACCCCTGAACCACCTTCCCAGTCCTTACTTCAAACTTTTGAATCTGTAACATGAGCTACAAATTCTCTTCCAAAGGATTCCTCTGTGGTTTAAGTGAGATAGTAGCCTGACGTAAAGCGTATGTATATCTTATTGCCTACAGTGCTTAACTTAGACGCACGATCTGAGCCTCCTCCCCGAAGGGGTGCATTCAGATTTGGTCCAAAACTTCAGTATTTAAAAAAAAAACTTATAAAAGAGCTGGGGGTTTTGATTTAGTGGTAGTATACTTACCCAGCATGCCTGAGGCCTGGGCTATAGGCCCAGCATGGGGGTGGGGGAGGGGTCATTGTAAATCTTTCTGAACCAATCTCTTTGGGAATCGAACATTTTTATGTGAACAAGTCACTCTTTTTAAGATGATTTTTCTTTATTCTTTCTTTCTTTTTTTAAAAAATTTTATGTGCATTGGTGTTTTGCCTACATGTATGTCTGTGTGGGATTCCCTGGAACTGGAGTTACAGTTGTGAACTTCCATGTGGTTCCTGGAAATTGAACCCAGGTCCTCTGGAAGAACAACCAGTGTGTTCCTAACTGCTGAGTCATCTCTCCAACCCCACAAGTCACTCTTAGTGATTGATAAAGCTTTTTTAGAGTCAAAAAATAGTACAGACCTCTTTTCCAAGATCATTTGTATCTTAAGTGGGAAGGAGATGAGCTCCTGTGAGTAGCCCCGCCTCCTTTCCCCCTTTAAAGCCCAATGACTTGAGAAATCTCTGCAGAGAGGTCTGTTGCAGGTGTCAACACAGCTTTGGGCCCATACAGGCAGACTGGCTGCTCTCCGGGGACCTGTACACACACACCAAAGCTAATTACTCTGGGCTGCAGATGCTAACATGATTTTACAAATTCCCAGGCTGCAGAAGTCTGATCATCCCTCACCCCTCCCACTCCAAAGACTGGGCCTGAGCTTATTTGCAATTGTGCAGGGCAGGCAGACAGACCTACCTGAGTTACTCCAGTCACCGGCCCTTTGAAGGCTTTCGTAATTTGCATTCCTTAAACAAATGGAATTTAAATTCCCTGGGCAAATTTCATCCTGATGGAACACCAAACTGACACGCACGCACGCCATGATCTCATTCTTCAGGACTTCTGGTTTATAAGCACTCCCGTGTGCTCCAACAGGCAGGCCAGATGAACCGCTGGGGCTGCGTGCAGTTCCACTCTCGTGACTCGCCCTTGGTTTTGAAAGCACCTGTACAGCAATCTTCATGACAGCTCATGGAGCCCTTGCACGATGCTAAGGACATCATAGGGTATTGCAGAAAGAATAAAACAAAAAACAAACAAAAACAAAAAAACAGAACTGTGGTTCTTGGCTACAGGTGAAGAAAATAGATGTCAATCTATTTTCTTGTATCATCAAACAATGCAACTGCTGAGCTGCAACAGGAAGATGTTACTTGTCTGTGTGCAAACTGAGAGTCATGCCCTTCTGTGCTACACAAGGAGAGTAAGGAGAATCTTAGCACATTCGAAATCATTCATTTGGTTTGCTGGATAGTTATTTCACCCGCCATCAAAATCAACTTGGTCTCCTCTCTTCTCCTGACCTCTTCAATCCCTTTGATCTTTTTGTGGTGGAGTGACAGGATACTAGCCTCTTCCTTGGGATGCTAACAGCTATTTTACCCTTTAATGTATCTTGGTTGGTCCTGATTCCAGTGCAGAAATGACCGTAGGTTGGCTCTGGGAGTTAAAGAAAGATCGGCTAACAGCAGGGATTCTGGGGTATGGGGCCTGAGCTGGGATCACTTTTTGGTCACCCAGGTCTAGAGACTTTATCACTAATCCTCTTAGCCACATACAACCTGGTCAAATTGTTATGATACCGCAAGCTCAGGAGGTCATGGCGGGTTGGACCAAGGTGCTCCACATCACTCAGACTTGGTGGCCGGCTGCAGCATGGAGTGATAGGAAGTTACTCACGCCATGCTGACACATGTCCATGTGGAAAGTTTATTGGGGAAGCGAGAAGGGAATGGAGGGAAGGAGAAAGGGGAGGGACAGATGAAGGGAGGGAGGGAGGGAGAGGAGGTACATACCTCATGGGAATGGGGGGTGGGGAGGAGTTTTCTCTTAAAGGGGACTTTACGTAAGATGGCATCAGGACCCTGAACGGTTCCTAACACAAACGGCTATGCCCCACAAGATATGCGTGAGGCTTAAGTGTTGGAAAAATGGACAAAGGTTGGGCAAAGACATGTGTATAGCTGTAAAATCATAAACACCTTGTTAGAAAACCTTGATTTAGGGCCATTGGTTTCTCGCTTGTCCTGTAAATTATATACATGATAATGTTCACTTATCTCCACAGCCCTGAAAAAAATATCAAAAAGGAGATCTGGAGAGATAGCTCAGAGGTTAAGAGTATTTGTCGCCCTTACAGGCAACCGACCCAGGTTTAGTTTCCAGCATTCACACAGGGCAGCTGAGAACTACCTGTCACTCCAGTTCTAAGGATTCTACCTCTCTCCTTCTGGCCTCCATTAGCATGGGGCAGCTGAGAACTACCTGTCACTCCAGTTCTAAGGCTTCTACCTCTCTCTTCTGGCCTCCATCAGCATGTCTGCATGAATGTGGGTCCCACTGATACACCTAGGCACACACTCATAAAATAAATAAATACTTTACAATCTAGGAAAGAGCACTAAAAGAACCATTCAATTCCTAAGAAGGCATTTCCATTATTCTCATCTAAAATTAGTAGGTAGGGAGCTCTAGAGGCAGCTCGGCAGGTAAGAGCATTTGTCGCTGTTAGAGAGGACCAGGGTTCCATTCCCAGACACCACGTGTTGACTCAGGGAATCTGACATCTCTCTTCAGAACTCGATGGGCATCAGGCACACACATAGTTCATACGCATACATGCGGGCAAAATATTTACACATGCAAAACAAATCTAATAATAACAATACCCTCCCCCGCAACCGGTTGGTAGTATGCCTGGGGTTTAAGAATTGCTTTGAGCGCCTGGCAGTGGTAGCGCACGCCTTTAATCCCAGCCCTTAGGAGGCAGAGCCAGGCGGATCTTTGTGAGTTTCAAGGCCAGCTAGGTCTACAGAGTGAGTTCCAGGAAAGGCGCAAAGCTACACAGAGAAACCCTGTCTTGAAAAACCAAAAAAAAAAAAAAAAAAAAAAAAGAAAGAAAAGAAAATTTAGAAAAGGTTTCCTGCTCTCTCCGGTGCAAGTAAATGTAGTTGAATGAGTTCCTGTGTCCCACCCAGCCTGTAGTCGGGACAAATCTCTCTCACCCGCAGTCCCACAGCCACTTACAAAATAATCACTCAGAGGCTTAATATTAATTACAAATGGTATGGCCTATGGCTAAGAATTCTAGCTAGCTAGCTCAAATTCATCTTAAATTAACCTATTTCTATTAAATCTATGTATTGCCACGGGCCATGGTGTTATCAGTCTGCTGGCATGTTGCTCCTTGGGTGTCAGGCTGGTGTCTCCTCTGCCTCTGCCTTTCTTCTTCCTGTCTCTCTCTTGGATTTCCTGTCTGGCTATAACCTGATTCACCATAGGCCAGAGCAGCTTCTTTATTAACCAATCATAATAACACATATTCACAGCATACAGAGAGACATCCCACAGCAAGTGAACACTGACAAAATAAAGCCTCTTGTGGGCTGGAGAGATGGCTTAGAGGTTAAGAGCACTGATTGCTTTTCCAGAGGTCCTGAGTTCAATTCCCAACAACCACATGATGGCTCACAACCATCTGTAATGAGATCTGGCACCCTCTTCTGTATACCTAATAAATAAATCTTAAAAAAAAGTTAAAAAAAATAAAGCCTCTTGTAGATGGACTTCACAACTCATGTAAGATAGGAAACTAGTAAAAAGTCCATCAGAGGGGCTGGGAGTGTAGTTTAATGGTAGAGCATGCCTGTCCTGTATGTGTGAGGCCTTGACTTTAATGTCCAGAACAAAGGAACGATTCCCTGACAAAGAGACTTTTCTTTTTCTTTTGTTTGGTTTGGTGACAGGGTCTATTACTTAGCTTTTGCTGTCCTACAACTCACTACATAAACTGGGCTGGCCTGGAATCAGAGATCCTCCTGCCTCTGCCTTCCTAGTGCTGGAATTAAAGGCTTGTGCCATCACTCCAGTCTTGACAAAGAACTCTTTAAGAGTCAACATGCAGAGAACTCACCATCTTTTCTAATCACTGCAATGTCCAAGCGGGCAGCACCTGGGCTTGGTGGTACAGGCCTGTAATTTTAGGATTCAAGAGACTGAGGCAGGGGGATCATGAGTCCAAGGCCAGTTTGGGCTACACAGTGAGTTTGAGGCTAGCCTAGGCTTTAGCCTCGACTTTGTAGAAAGATCCTGTGTCAACCAAAATATTGAAAATGTAACAAAAACCAATGAAAATGAGGAACAGAAGGGTTCAAAATTGATGTTAACTTAGATTTTCTTTTCTTAAAAACAACAGAAGCAAATTCTATCAGTGTTCTTTAGCAAATGATAAATTTATTAGGTGTCTACAAGTAGAAAACACTGAAAGCTGCTGGAGAGGATTATAAAGGTGTGCAGGAGATGCGCCGGTCCTTGAAGAACTCACAATCTAGACCATGAGTCAATGGACAAGTTGTGGGATGTTATAAGACGCAAGCCTACTTCTTGGAAAGTCCCGCGCTTGTACTCTGAATTCTTCTCCGGCCAGACTTACGGAATCCCTTCAACAGGAAGGTTACACGTGGGAAAGAGACGTTTTTTGTGGATTCATCAGTGACCTTGACTTCGTTTCTAAGAACTGTCTGTTGCACAGTTCTCATAAATTCTCAGCATCGTTTCTGACCTTGGTGTGGAGAGAATCTCCAGGCTTCCTGAACCTTCACCAGGGTTTCCTGTTTGTGGGTGAGTGGCTCAGTTGCAGCTTGGCCTTGGAATGATTCGTCATCCAATTTTTCTTTCAGCCCGATGTATCGTTGGACTTTGGTTGGCACTGGGCTGCGATGCTTTGCAATCCCTGCTTCTAAGGGCGGAGGAAGATGCAAAACAGGAAGCAGGCCAGACTCTTTCCCTTACTTTAAACATTTAATAGTGCATTTACTGAATATACTCTGTACAGATATAGGGCAAATTATAAACCTCTTTCTTTCTTTATTTTTTTTTTTTCACTAAAACTGTATTCACGTAAAGTGTATTTACAATGTGTGGGGGGGAGCCTTGAGGTACAAAACCCAAAAGAATATCTGAGGTATAAATACAAGTATATTTTAAATAATAATCTTTATCATGCTTTATCTATGTCTGAAAGCACAGTGGACAGACATGTGTACATGTTTCTCAATAGACTGGTATATACAGCATACAATCTTATAGATCCAGAAGCCAACGAAGTTGAATATACACGCACATCTTCACAAGCAACACTGATAATTCAAATACTCAAACTTTAAAACTCTACTCTGACCCCCCCCTCCCCATTCTTCAAAGAACCTTTGAAATAATACTGACAAGGTAACTCAGTTATAACAAAATAAAAATCCTTCTTCAACTCTCATCCATACATTTTTCACCTTTTGATCCATACAAAATAAATTTACTAATACTGTCTTGAGTCAATCTTTACCATTACAGTAAAACCTGTAGAAAGACTGCCCTTCCAAAAACCTGCACGATCTGTTTTCACTGAGATTACTAGTCCCCATTATTACTAAAATACAGTTTAAGGGCATTATGAGAGAAAAAGCAAAAAGAAATGTAGGGGAAAAATAAAAAAACCACATAGTCAGAAAACCTGTTTGTGCATGAGGACAGACCTAATGAAAACACACACGTAGATGTCAGGAACACTGATAACACCAATAACCCAAAGCCTCTTGTGCTTGGGTTAAATCTACTGGGGACATATCTCCCTGTGTTCCCTTGTTTATGTCACAAGCCTGACAAGACTATGAATTATAACGGGTAAATCGTTTTGATGAGCACCTCTTACCCCAGCTATCTGACAGACGGAGATAGGAGCCTCCCCTATACAATGAGTTAGTTGTTCAAGACCAGCCTGGGCAACGTGGTGAGACCCTGTCTCAAAACAAAAGGTGAAAACAGAGCCTGGGATAAAGTTCACTGTAGAGTGCTTGCCTGCATATAAAAGGCCCTGGGTTCAACTCCCAGGACCGGAAATAAAGTTTTGGGACTTTGCTTATGGGTGTTTCACGTAAAGAAAACCCTTCCTCTAGAGGCGGTCGAGGGAGTGGAGAGGATGCTTGTTAGTCTTACTGGTTACGTTACTACAGTCACGGGAAACTGCAGTTTATGGGAAAGCAAAGGTCTGAAGAAAGAAAAAAACAAAAAAAAAACAACAAACAACTCCTCCCACCTCCCCCCAAAACCCAGCAACACAATAACCTGGGGGGAAATGGAGAAAGGAGCTGGGTTCCCCTTCCGGGTAGATCCCTGGGTAGTCAGCTATTCCAGGCGGAGCTAAACCTGGTGGCTAGATCAGCATCCTTTGTGGAGCATATCTCAGTGTGCCAGACACTGCGTCCCATCTCTGCATCTGTGCCTCTCAGCCAGCAACACACACATCCACACTCCTCTGTGCAAACCGTTCTCTGCTCATCTCGGGGGAAAAAAAAACACCTGTCAACGAGTACCAACTATTCCAGTGGCTACATCAGTCCCTCAACACACCGCAAAACGAATGACGTAGGTACACACGCGCTGACGTCACGAGACAGTGACGTCGCCTGGCTATCTTCCATTATGCGCCGAAAAGAGCTCTTGCTTCTCAGAAGCAATGTGAACAATACACGTATCTCCCCTCCCCACCCCGCCCCAAGTCTTCTATAATCCAGTCAAGGTCTATGACATAGACCTAAGACGAACAGGAAGCAGCTTTAAAAACAACTGGTCAAAATTGCTTCAGTCAATGAGACCCAGATGAACTCTTCCAAGGGCTGGCCAGGCTCTAGAAACAATCACCCAGGTGGGAGACGCAGATGCTTGGCGCCTCCGTGATCACCTAGATTTGGTATCCTTGGGTTCAGTGTTCTGATTACTGAAGGAGTCTCGGATCTTTACCACTTCAGCTGCACACAAATGTCCAAAAGATTTTGTGTACCACTCCGGCATGTGGCCCCTGTGACACCAAAGAAAAGCTGGTGAGTTATTTAAATTAGCAAGAGCTGAGATATGATGAAGACAGTCTTGAATACTCTCTCTCTTTTTTAAAAATTTGGACTATGAGGATTGTGCTCAGGGCCTCAAGGATGAGAGGAAAATGCATCACGACTGAGCTGTTACCAAAGGCTGCTACTCCCATTTCTTTCTTTGACACAGCATCTCTAGACAGCCTTAAACTCCCTGTGATTAGCCTGCCTCAGCCTCCACTGCGATGCCTGCTTCTATTCTTTGGTGAACATGTGAAAATAAAGACCCAGAAGGTTTCCAGGGAACAATTTTAAAGCATGGATACTGAATGGCCTTGCTTCGAGAAAGCTTTGGCATGTCTTACAGAAATGTATCACATGGGTGACTGATGTTTACAAAGGAGAGTTTATTTAAGAAAAGAGTTGATTTGGGGCATCCTTGAAGCTGATGAATCACATCCATTTATTGCACAAAGCAGAGGCATAATCAATTATAAAACATGCACTGTTCAAACACTTTCCAATATAAAACGGGAAATATCTTCTTGTTGGTTCAATATAAAAAAATATACTACTTTCTGTGGCTTTAAGTTTATGGTCAAACTATCAAATTCACACTGCTTTAGTAGCATATTTCCTAAGGAATCTAGATTGGAAGCAGTATCCAAAAGGACAGCAAACATCAAGGTATTGTTTTACAAGCACCACTCTTCATAAAATCTCCAAAACACAGTGACAGATTCACCTCACCATTCGGGACATCATATGGAAACTCTGCATCTTCTGCATCCCCATCCCCGTGTCAGGTCAGAATCAGAACGTACCGTAAATCAGCTCTGCACATGTAGGTGAGTTTGGATTTTCCTGACCCGCAGGGTTCAATCAAATATCTGGACAGGAGCACATTAACCCTCACCCCCACCACGGGTGCCCGGTCGTGGTCCACAGAGGTGAGTAAGAGGGCACAAGCTCCCCGGGGTAAATTGGTCCTCCAGGTCCTGTGGAGACAAAAGCGAAGAGGAAATGGAATTTCTCAGAAGCCAGGTTGAAAAATGGTACTTCCCTCCTGGCATCCTCCCAAAGTCACTGCACATGGACTCTGTGGGGGACAACCTGTACAGGGCCACCTCCTCCACTTGGGGTGGACATGCTCAGTCACCCAGTGTCGTTTTGGAAAAGAGCCAGTTTGAAGTGTTTTTTTTTTTTTTTTTTAACCCCTTTACATTTCATGAATGTCTCAGGATGTGGACAAGCAGTGAGCAATTCTGGAAGAATAACAGGACAGTTCCTGGAAGCTTTTTGAAACTGCTCCTTCAATAGCCTTCAGAGGACCCGGGAGTTAGATGTAAGTCAGTCTTAACCACATCTCACTTGGGACTAAATGCTATTTCCTGGCCTATCCACTTGTTGGCTGTTTCTAACCAGAGTATCTATAGGCAATGGGCAGAAATCTAGCCCCATGGCGCACATTTGTTTGAAAAGGCTTTTCCCTTTCTGAACTCAGTTCCAAGAGGTAAAGCCTTACTCAGTCAAGCAGCCTGCTGGCATAAACATGAACGTGCTTTGAAATTGCTCAGCACTTTCCCTGACATCTACAACTAGTTTTAAATAACATGCCCATATTGTAAGTTTGAGTGACACCCGGGCTCAGTCCTGATGTTTAATTGTCTATGCCATGATCAAACCAATCTGGAAGCTCTCACCTCAACACGACGTAGTCCCGAGCAGGGTGCGGCGCCATGCTGTTTTGGACGTACTGGTAGATTTCAGTCTGGCTGTCCAGGATTTCAATCACCTTCGAGTCCAGCAGGTCCACATCCCAGAGGTGCTGCTCTTTCAGAAGTCGCTTTAAGATCTCCTCGGGGGCAGCAGGGACCTCGATGGTTGACCTCCAAAGCCTTAGTGGTGGTCCTTCACTGACCTGTAAAGAAGATGTGTTGCTTTCAATGTCAAGAGAAAGCATATATACTTTGATTTTGAAAACAAAGTTTGAGTGGGGGACGTGGCCCTCTGTTCAGAGGCTGATTAATAAATCTATGTAGTAGGCTACTAGCCCTGGATATATTGAAGAGCAGGCTAGGAGTGTGAACAAAATAAGTGTCAGCTCTGGTCAGAATCATGACTTCCGTTTCCTGGGGCTCGTATCAGAATGACTGTGATACACTCATTTATTTCATCTCAAAGTCTATATGGCCATTGGACCACTCTGTTTATTTTCAAGGTGATAGAGACAGTGTTGACAGACACCTTGATGGATGTTATGCTGAGACAAAAGGATGCTCCAAGCAGTGACTCAGACCACATGGGGTGTAAAACTATTTTCTTTACAAGTATAGAAAAAAAAATGTGAGCTTGTCCCAAGATGCCCCTTGAAAGCCCAAATAACACTAGTGAATCAGGTAAGTCTAGGACGATTCTGTGGGAGGAAAGGACTTCATCACAAGTAGGTAGCGATTTCCCATGTGCTAGTGTTTGTCCCTCTGTGACAGATGTCCATTCTTACCCAGGGAATCTCAATCACCTGGCTGCCTAGCACAGGGACAGTTCTCAGTGACAGGTCTGGGGTAGAGATCCCCACAGAGACTACAAGTGGGCAGAGAGTCTCATGTCTGATGACTCAAAGTCATGACCCTGGGAATGAACGGGGAGAAGACGGACCTTCTTATAGGACAGCTCCGCCTGTTCAGAGGTAGGGTAGCTGACCCAGCCTTTGAACTTCTCTTTGACCTCCTTAAACAGGCCATCCACACAGTCCTGGAGGAAGTGTGTGTAGTCAGCAGGCTGATCGTTGTTACTCAGGTGTCCCAGGGCCTCCAGTGTGAGGGGCTTCAGTTCTTGCTCAGTGTAAGAGTTGCGACATCGGCTCATTTCCTCAGGAACCTGGGAGAAACACACAAGACAAGAAGGTGATGGGTCCGTCAGTGCCTCAGTAGAAGGAGAAAGGTAGAAGCATCGGCTTGATTCAAGCTGGCCTTCCACTCCCAAGAGATAATGGAGGGTGTACATAATTAATTACAATAGGGCTTACGCGGATCAAAGCAGGTTTCTCAGACAAATTTTTTTTTTTTTCGAGACAGGGTTTCTCTGTGTAGCTTTGCGCCTTTCCTGGAACTCGCTTTGTAGACCAGGCTGGCCTCGAACTCACAGAGATCTGCCTGCCTCTGCCTCCCGAGTGCTGGGATTAAAGGCGTGCGCCACCACCGCCCGGCTCTCAGACAGAATTTTAATTCCAGATAATTTGTTGCTTTTGCTCCCCACCTGCTCCCACACAAGACAGGGTTTCTCTGTGTGGCCCTGGCTGTCCTGGAACTAGCTCTGTTGACCAGGCTGGTCTCGAACTCTGCTTTTACTTTTTCCATAAGAGGTCGACAATTTCACGAAACATTAGCTGCCATGAGTGTATACACACACACATGTATATAAATACATATAAATAACTCATGGCGTATGTGTGTGAGGGAGAAAAAGAGTGTGTGAGTGTCTGTGTTTGTGTCTGTCAGTCTCAGCCTAGGTACATAATCTCTAATTATGGGAAAGACCTTTTGCCCAGATGAGAACAAACACCAAGCCAATGATTTTGTGCCCATCCACAGTATCCTTAGCACAGCAGCCAAGCTTCAGGACCGTCTACCTGGAAGAGCTTCTTGCACTCAGCAATCATGTGGGCCAGCCCTTGAGTGGCAGCGAGGTTTTCATTCAGATCTTTCTGGTCTGGTTTGCCCAAACTCTGTTTTCTTTGCATTACCCTAGGAAAAAGAAATAAAGGGTTTGGATAAGCAGGTTAAGTGGTTCCAAAAAGCTTTTTATTTTGTTCAGCACAGTTTCTCCCAGTTTTATTAAAAACACAACACAGAATACAGAAACATATTTTGGTTAAACAGCCAGGCTATTTACAGACATTTTATTAAGTAGTTCACAAGAGCGTGCATTTGCTGGGGACTGAGGCAGCTTCTACAGGAACTGAGCTGCTTGGAGTAGGGATAGACGGTATTGCTATCCTTACAGGCTAAGTAAACAGGATCCCCTACCTTAGGTGAGTGATAACCCTATTGTTTGGTCTTATTCTTATCTGGCCCGTCTTCTGCTATCTCCTGGAGTTTTCTATCCCATTAAAGCTGGAATGCCCCAACCACTTCCAACACTAGTTAAAAGGCTACTTAAGTACGCTACAGCTTCCAGGTGTGCAGTGACTTCAACACATCAACCTGAAACACGGTTCAGGTTCCCAGGGCCGGACAGAAGCAGGATGTGTGGAGTCCATCCAGCTAGTCACTCTTTCTTCCTATGGTAGGGGTGATCTTATCATGAACTACCCATGGAAGAAGTGCAAACCAGATCTGTCCTTCCTTCCTTCCTTCCTTCCTTCCTTCCAGAACTGACCTTCCCCAAACTTCACTTTATTCTTGGAAGAGAGAGAGACAGACAGACAGACAGACACTTGGCAGTTTGTCTGTCTCCTGGGATTGTTGTGACATGGGAAGACTGATAGGAAGAAAAGGACCTTGTGCCTGGTACAGAATAAGTCCCCAGCAAGTATCAGCCTTGGTGAGCACTGAGCTTCCTCTTCTTCCTAGTTCTCCATAGCTACTCCCACCCTGTGTACATGGATTCTAGGCAGAAATGTCTGCCAATCATTGGCTTAGGGCGTATGTTAAGTAGAAACAACTCTGAGGTTCAATAATAACCTTTGTCCTTTGTAGCCTTGCTTTCAACTTCAGGCACAGGCCAGAAATGTGTCTTTCCTGATCCCCCAGAGGCTAAGGTACTGGGGGGGTACATCTGTCCCTACTCCAAAGAGATCCCACTTCAGTCCCTTTGGGCCAGTAGGTCTGTGAGGCTGTTGGTTGGGAGAATGAAAAGGACAGTGTTTGATTTGCTTTAAACACTGGACACACCAACGCACACACCCATGGTGCTCTGTCTCAGGAGCCCTCCTCTTCAAAGACAGCTCCTTTCAGGAGTGTTAGGAAAGGGGCCAGAGGCACGGGGATGCTCTGTGACCTGAGAAGAAGCCCGGGCAGAAAATGCTCCCATTCTGGACAACTGATGCCCAAGGTAGGATGCAGATGGAGAAAATAGGTCCTTGGGTATCTTGTCTCTGTCCCCCTTTCTCTCTGTGACCAGGCTGCCTTGACACAAATGATGTCCTGCTGCCCCATGATGGGGCCAACCAACCATGGGCTGAGCCCTCGGAAACCATGAGGAAAGTCAACCTTTACGCCCTTAAGTTGTTTGTGTCAGGTAATCTGTCACAGTGACCCACAAGGACCTAGTTCCAGGACTAACCACTTTCGCTCAGTTCACATAAGACATCGACAAGAACACAGGGACACGACCCTAGGAGGAAGGGAGCGATGCCTCTCAGGAACAGACCTGGGCATGCTCCTTGCATCTGATCTGATCTGTACCTTGGGGAAGAATTCTCTCTCTTCAGGGTGTTGAGGTGGAAAAGAGAAGGGGCTAAGCACACAGCCAGGTTGGTGGGAGTCATCTGGTTTTCCTTCACAGCCGCCGTGACATCGCTCAAGAAGTAGAGAAGCGTCTGGAGAACCTCCCGGTTCTCGTCAGGCAGGAGCATAATGGCTGCCTTGATAGCTTGGAGGCGCTGGTCCTTGGGCACATCTGCAGGGCACAAGCATTTCCCTACCATCAGCTCAGTAATTTTCCACGCACACGGCAAGTCCGCATCCCAAAGCAAACATCGGCATCAAACACCGAACGAGCACTTGCGGAAAGCATACTAAAGATTAATAACGAAGAAATTATGGGCTGCCGCCGCCGCCAGCGTCACTAGCCTCAAGTATTTCCTGCCTCGTGGGGGAGTTGAAACATTTCAAACACCCACAGTGCTAACACACTCTAAAATCGACCTCAGAGTTCGGCTCCAGATGGTATGTTCTTGTCCTGTACAGAACTGTTTCTTCCAAGCACTTAAAAAAAAATTTCTAATTTGCCATCTTAATTATTGAAATCACTCTGCATTTAAGATTTTTGTGTCATTTCAATAAAAAGTTTATGGGAGACATGTGCAAGAAGTTAAGAACAGAGATCGCTCAGCTGGCCATAAAAGGTTCAGTGTCTTTGGGGACCAGTTTTGACCCATTTGCTCATCCTTAAAATGGGGAAGGTTGTTAGAATATGAAGTCAATTTAAATAGATTTTAAATAACAACTTCCTAAGTTTTAGGAAGTATACCAAGAGGCAAATGTATAAAAATGCACGTAAGCCTACATATAGAATAAGGAACACTGTAGGAAGTCTGCGCCCAGCCTTCCAGTCTTATTCACCGGGCAAACTTAAATTTTTTAAAAGCATGTGGTGGAAAAATCAAGTCACTTCAATGCAGGGCCATAAGACAAACTGATTAAACAAGCTCCATGGTTACAATGCATAACAAATACCTTGGTGGGGGAAAATGTGACCTGTGTTTTCATAAAATATGAAAGGACGAAACAAATAATGAAACAGACCAGACCAGACCCAGCTCCGTTCCTCATAAAATGAAGCTCAACGCGTCAGTTCTAAAGCCTGCTCCAGCGGAGAGAGGTTGCTTTTCAACCACGCTGCTCCGAGGCTGCGGGAGCCAAGAAAAACACAAGGCCGTGAAAGCCACAATCCTGATCTCGATCATTTATTTCCACAACTGTTTGCTTTAAGCTGAGCTTGTGAAAGTGAGGAGGACATGGGTATTGTTTTCCCAGGTATTTCTGGAAGGGACCGTGATGAATAACAGAAAAAAAAAAAACCATTATTTATTCATTTTCCAGTGAGATAAAACACACGGACACTAGAGAAATTCTAAACTCAGCAGCCCTGTGAGAGAGGTGTAAAGTAAATGGTGAGTCTAGAGACAAGGCAGGAGAGAGGGGAATCAGCGGTGGGTGGAGGGGAGGAAGGGAGGAAGGGAGGAAGGAGAAAGGGCACCAGAGGGCAGGCGTACCGTTTTGGTACCTAACTTTTTCAGCACCTCCATTATACTACTCTAGACAAATGAAAGATGATACAGGACTTGACTGTAACGACGTACAAGGCCTCAGCACTTACAGACTAATCAGTGAAATTTATTTTCTCTTTCTTCTGAAGATAAGGTCTCACAGAACCCAGGTAGCCTTCAAATTCAGCATGCAGCCAAAGATGACCTTGAACTTCTGACCCTCCGATCTCCATCTCCCAAGTGCTTAGGATTACAGGTGTGCAGCACTACACCTGATTTATGTGTGCTGGGGAGCAAACCCAGTGCTCCATGCTATACAACCACAAAAAATTACTTTTCAAATTATTCAGTAAGTATACAGAAACCTATTCCATATGCAAGGCAAGAAAGAAACGGATAACCTGTGTATTCGGAGGGTCCCCATGCAGGTTTCCTTGGCTAAACAATGACATGCCAAGACAGCTGGTCCCACTAAACCCAGCATCAATGGTCTTAAGGAGACCCAAGGACACTTACACTGGTAGATCTGTAGGAAGGTTTCCGAGAGTTTGTTCGTCATGAGGGGCTCAGGAAGATCTCGAAAATACTGCTTTAACATGTCTGCCACATCGTAAGCGGACTGGCCTTCATAGTTGACATAATCTTCGGCGCTTTCGTTCATCTGGCGTAGGGCCTGAATCCTGGATTTGACGCCCGACTTTCTGAAGAGCCCAACCTTTTGGAAGAAAAACATTAGGAATGAGGGCGGAAGCAACCAACCCCTTCCTTTCAAAACTAGAAAAAACAGGAGCACGAAGCTCAGTCGGATCCAGAGGCAGCTGTAACTCACCTGGTCCAGACAATGGTTCCGGAGGTAGCGCATGGCCTGCTGGATGCTCTGAGGCAGGGGCTGTCCGGAGCGCTGCACATTCACAGTCAGCGGGACCCCAAACACATTCCGGTCCTTGTAGTCTGGAACCTTGATCCTTTTCATGAACTTGGGCACAGCCCTGTTTAAAGAACATGGTGGTGGTGAGGGATGCTGGACTTCACTCACCCTTTTTTTGCAAACAATTTCTCAGCCGTACTAGCCACATTCAAGGGCATACTGATCATTTGTGTCCAGTAGCTGCTACAGTGAATTATGTCAGTACAGAACGCTCCCTCCCACACTATTAGAAAACGTCCTAGGAATTTTTGGTGTGTGTGTGTGCCTGCATGCCTGCGTGCGTGCGTGCGTGCGTGCGTGCGTGCGTGTGTGTGTGTGTGTGTGTGTGTGTGTGTGTATAGTGCTTTAGGTACAGGAACCCAGAGCAAGTGCTCTACTACTGAGCTACACCCCACCCCTAATATCTCCCTGACTCCTTTGTAAGACATTTTCTCACTTGGTAACCCAGTCTGATCTGAAATTACAATCCTCCTGTCTCAGCTTCTTCAGTCATGCACCATCATGTCTGGCTATGTTCTAGATGCTTGAAGAGATGGAGTTGTAAGACCTGGTCAAATTTCCTCATCTGCGGGAATCTGTTAATTCCTGTTAATCTTGAGAACAGGAGTCTGTGGTCGATGGGAAGGCTGATGAACTTTCCTAGCCTGCTCTTGAATGTATTCAGGGCTAGTACATGGTACAGGAAGGAAGAGGTAAAAATACCTAATACCTTAGTAGGCAGTTCTGATAAAAGCTTGAGGAACAAGCTCCGATTTTTCCCTAAAAGGGTATGCATCCCTCCTGGGTTCTTGACGAGATCTGAATTGATTCGGGTAAAGAGACCTGGGTAACACTGCATTAAAAATCAGCCAACGCACAATGCTGACTGGCTTGCCATACTGAGAACCAAGACCAGAGCCCAGATGGGGCACGACCCAAAGTCAAAATAAATTCCCCTGCCGATGACCCCCAGAGAACACAGCATCTTCAGGCTTCTATGGGAACGTGGAGAAGGAACAATGGGAGTGTTGTGAGGCTCCCCCAGGCTGCCAGCCGTCCTGAAAGCAGGCCCACCCCCAGCCATATAGGCAACAGCAGGAAACCCATGTCAGGCATTTAAGGCCGTCAGGCAGACATCTGAGCTCACAAATGACCCCTCCGAGTGAGGCCAGAAAAGGGCAAAGCCAAACAGGAAAGGGACTCTGGGCAGAAGTGCTCCATGCTGTCCAAATTTCACAATGCCGGGCTTTTACATTTGGTTTTGACTCACTGGAAAAACTGACCGGAATTGAAGTAGTAGGGTGGACTTTCAGATTTTTTTTTTTTTGAGGGTTTGGTGAGAAAGGGGGTGGGCACCTCTGAATGGAGAATCTAAAATATGCAGTTTTAAATAGCAGCGAGGAAAATATTACTCTAAGCACAGAGGGACACCACAGAAAGCCAACTGCCGTCGACTTCTGGGTGCCTGCCCACAGCCGTGACATGCCACTCTTGATGGCTCTAGGAAAGGGTATGCCAGAGCGTGGAGCCAAACTGCTATTTCCACACAGTTAAGCATACGGTACTATGACAGAAGTGTGTATAATGCCCGCTTTGTAGGGGGCGAAGAGCCCGGCTGTGGAATGTGGGAAGAGCACATTACACTCCCCACTGAGAATCTGAGGCATCCTGGGATAAACCGGTCAATACGTATTTCTGTCGTTCAGAACAAACAACTTCTGTATTTAGCCGGGCTCATGTAAAACTGCCTTAGCTAGGGAGGTGCTTGGTGTCACAGCCACATCCCTTGGGCATCCCTAGGAGGGAGGATCCAGAGAAGAAAGGGCAGCAGACTCTGCTTCAGGCTATCTCAAGCCACCCTGGATGGCCGCAGAGCGCTCCAATGAAATGGACTGCACCTCCGCTTTCCTAACCATTGGACAATAAACACCCTGACAGTGAGGGAAGAGATTCAGGCAAGCCTGGGATGCTGCAAAACACAGAGCTGGATCCAGACACAGCTCTTGTCTTCGTACTAGAGCATAAAATCAGTAGGTACACAGATTATGCCACACCCACAACCTATCCCCGACTGTCCACATCTTACAGTGCCCACTCAAGGCTGGATTTTCAAAATTATGAAGGGTTCATCTAATAATTCTCAAGTTTTAAAATACATTTGTTTGTGGTGGGGCCTGGGGGGCACGTGGCTTTAATCCTAGCACTTGAGAGGTAGAGGCAGATGAATCTCTGTGAGTTCGAGGCCAGGCTGGTCTACAGAGTGAGTTCCAGGACAGCCAGAGCTACAAAATAAGACAGACTCTGTCTCAAAATACCAGAGAGAGACAGAGACAGAGAGAGAGACAGAGAAAGAGAGCGTGCCAAAGAAAAAATAGTAGGTGTCTAAGATTTATTATAGTTACTTAAATTTATTACTCCCTCAACATTTTTGCCAGAGAGCCCCCTCCCCCAAATAAACAACAAAACAAAAAACCCTAAACTCTTTAACACAGGTAGATTTTGAGCCATGCTCCAAACATTCAAAAACGACCAGCAGAGAGATGGGAGTGTGTGCTCAGTGTGAATGAAGGCCCGAGTTCAATCCCCAACATTGCTAACCGAAGCTCCTAAAAGCATGCACAGATACCGCCAGCTATGTCCCATGTCACCATTCTCCTTCCTTCCTCCCATGAACGTGACCTGATCATGTATTTGCCTAGTGTGCGTTATTCCTGGACCTGGAAAGAAGGGTGCCTGTGATCTATGATGTGAGAGGGATGCCATCTTTCATGTAAAGGGCTGAAAACCCAACCAACCAGTCCCGCAGCAGCTAATTCCCAGAAACTCCATGAGCTCCATCAAGTATTGAAAACACAGCCTCAAGGGTATGGAGAAGGACTGCCCCAGGATGACGGATCGGAGATATCCGATAAAGGACAGACAGAACGGTCATGCGCTCGGTGTTGGGGCACCCTGAGGGAGTGCATGGCCTCATGTGCCGTTCCAGCGGATGACATAGTTTATTCTCTTACCAACTGAAACCATGCTTGTTGGAAGGCGTGTATTTTTCCAGCAGGGCCGTCAGTTTCAGGAGTGAGTATTTCTGCAGCAGGTTCATCTGGGCCACAGACTGACAGTTGATCTGCAGAGATACAGAGTTTAGGCTTGGCCGGTGAGAGCTCTGGAAGCTGTGCCATCTCAGCCTGTGCCTGCAAGAGAACAGGGCAAGGGTGAGACAAAGACTCTTCTCTGGAGGGAAGGAAACAGCTGCTCCCTGGCACCTCGGGAACCAAGAGGACGGACGCTCCTCTCCAGGAAAACCAACAGCCCTTCCTACAGAGCCACAGAAGGTTCGTTCCAGAGCCTCCCTCAGAGACTTCGGACTCAGCACACTCAGGTCTCTTACAGAAGATGTGTAGCATCTATGCACATTGGAGGCACCCTCCCATTTAGTTTAAATCATCTCTGGATTGCTTATAATGGCCTGTTAGGGGTTCACTGCTATACTGTATTACTTAGGGAATAAGTAATTCACATAAGACACAAGACAGTGTCTCCCCTAAATATTTCTCATCTGTACCTGGCCAAGTCTGAAGACTTGGAACGGTAGGAGGGCTGACTGTACATGCACGTTATCACTTTAACCATGTCTACGGATACACCTTGGTGGCGTAAAGTCTGATCACACTGTGCAAACACCACCACCCTCCACATTTTCATCCTTTTTGAATAAAGATCCACACCAATATCCCCTTTCTTTTGGATTGTTGGGGTCTGCTGGTTGGACCACCATGAAGCTACATGGCTGTGGCTTCCTCCCACCAATCAGACGATTCCTGATCCCCACCTTAGTCTGGAGAAGTAAGGCCCTTACCTTTTGCACCTGGTCAGGGACGCCCCCACCCCAGAGTCCCTTCTCTCTGGGATGTCAGTGGGCTCTTCAGGCTCATTGAGGGAGTTGCCCGTGCTATCCAGGTCGCTGGGTGTCCTTCGGTCATGGTCCACGTCCAGGTGTATCTGCTTTGGAGACGACGGGCAAGGAGACACAGAGTCCAGGGCTGAGTCAGAGTCCCCCTCATCGGAAAACTTCTCCGACCACTGGTTAACTATCCTCTGCATCCCTTTCACGTGGTAGAGAATGTCATCCAGCTCAGGGAAGATGTCCTCGTTCTCCAGGTCGGCCAGGTCCCCCGAGCTGGAATACAGGATGGAGCCCGGCACGTTGTCGTAGATGCTCAGGCGGCTGCTCACCGAGCTGGAGGAATTGCGCCTCTTCAGTTCCTTAGGGCTGTCGCTGCTGTTTTCCCTCCGTAGGCTGAGGTGGCCGGGGCCGTGGAAGCTCCCGGTCCTCCAGTTCACGGAACCGTTTCCCGAGGGACAGAAACTGCCATTGGAGAGGGCCTTGGGGAAGGTGCCGGGCTTGTGGTCCTCCGGAATGTAGAACACCGTGTCCTCTGGGTAGCTCTCACGGTTCTTATAGTTCCGCTCCGTCACGTTATTCAAGGTGGACTGACTGAAAGGGTCGAAGCCCTCTAGATACATGCCCACCCGCTTGTTACAGGTGCTGAGGCTCCGGGTCCTGGTGACCGGGCTCGGTGTGCTGACCGCACTGCTGGTCTCTGACTGGCTGCTGCTGCTGCTGGTCTGCGTGGAGTTGGACACGCTCCTCTTCCGTACCAGGGGCACGTTGATGTGGTTGCCGTGGAGGGCCGAGATCTCCACGCAGTTCAGCTGCTTCAGCTTCTCCTCATCCATCCCCTCCTGCAGAATGGGAGCACTGATGATCAAGCCCAGCTTGGAAGGCGTCTTGTGCTTGCCGTGGTGGGAACCCTTGAGCTTCAAGCTTTCCATCCGCTTCAGCAGGCTCCGCGTCTTAGACTTGGTGTGTTTCTCGTGGCCTTTCATGCTAAAGCTGAAGCTGGACAGTTCCTTGGGGGAAGGCAGGCTGGAGAAGGAGTCATCATGGCCTACGAAGTGGCCGTGGCCGGAGGAGGAGCAGACGCTGATGACGGAATTCGTTCGGGGTGTCACCGCATCCCCGCTGTGGGGTCCGTGGGTGGGGACACTGCTGGTGCTGCTGAGGCTTCGGACAGAGGACACCTCCTGGCGCTCGCTGAGGTCCGTCAGCATGCTTTCGTGGCTCGTGGCGCTCTGCAAGCGAGAGTCGTCTGGGGACCCAGGGATTGGCTCCTGCTTTGGAGAGAAGACGTCGAACTCCTCAAGGCGGGACCACCTCTTGCTGTCCCTCTGGAAAGTCCACTTGCCGCTGATTGCACAAGGCTCATCTTCATCCGAATCCTCGCTCTGCAAAGACAAAAGGAAGCCGTGTATTGTATGTGCCAGGCCAAGCCGATGGCAAGGGGCAGGACTCCACAGACCAAAGGATACTCCCAGTGACTGTTACTCACTTCTTTCATACTATTTTTAAGTAAAAAAGTAACAAACTTGAAGACTTTATCAATACTGTATTTTATTTCGAGGATGTGTTTGCAGGTATGCATGGGCGGATGTGTACGGGTGTATGTGTATGGATGTGTATAGGGATGTCTATGGGTGTGTATGGGTGTTTATACCATATTCAGAAGACCATGGGTCAGAGTGAGTTTTCTCCTTTAACCATGTAGGTAGGTCCTGGGTACAGAACTCGGTTGTCCTGCTAGCCAGCAGGCACCTTCGGCTGGCTGTCATTTTACTGGCCCAGATATAAAGACTTTCACAGAAAGTCTGACCAAGTGTTGCCAGCTAAGTGCGTTATTTTACTGAAAAGTCCGAGTCTTTGGGCTGTTCATTAATTGCTCACAAAGGGGACCTCTGAGATTGGCGAAAATTCCAAGCATGCAAAATATTCTGAACTGGAACGGACTCAGCGGCAGTGGGACTCCCCCTGGACTGTCTCCAGTGTATCTGCCTGTTGACAGAGTGTGCTTATATTCTCTTGTGCTGTTGAAAAAAAAAGCCACTTTCAAACAGTTAGCAGACTAGCAGCTGAAGGCTCTAGGTAGCCAAAAAAAAAAAAAAAAAAAAAAAAAAAAGTGAAGACATCTCCTACATGGCTACATGGTGAGCCATCCCATGGCAGCCCAATCCTGTGCCATCTCTTACTGGTACTGTTCCCCTACTGTCCGACCACAGTTAATGTCACAAGGGTCCTGGGCAGTTTCAAAGTCAGACATGCTCCAGGCAATTTAACAGGCCTTCAAGAATGCCCAGCGAGTGCCACCAGTATGGGGTATTGTAAACACTAGGGAACGTGGCTGCTGATTATGCTTGCCTCATGTGCGGGAATTGGGAATGTCCCACCAGATTGCCTTTCAGAAGGGAAATTCAAGGACCCAACTCTGCACGCTGGCTCTCCTTGCCACTGGTGTGAAAGTAGCAAGACCCAGTTTGCTAAGACACCGAGCAGGCGGCCTCCCACACCCACGTGGAGACTCTCCGCCTGGCTCAGTGGGGGCTGAGGTTCCAGATCATTTATTTACAAGATTTAACTCCCCAAGAAAGCAAATTTTTTTTGCATGTCAGGGACTGCCGGATAATTAAAATTTATACTCTCAACAGTCAGGACTAAGCTCTGTGGGCAGACCGCCACTGTTTACCCTCCTTTGTGACACTAACTCCTAACACTGCCTCACCCTTTCCCAAGGTCCCACAGCTCTTACCCAGAAGAAAAAAAAAAAGTTCAGTACACATCACCACTGACGGAGTGTGTGGGACTTCCTGCCCTGGCCTCTTCTCCCCTGCCCCCACACCAAAGCTCCTACTGTTCTACAGTATCCCCGAAGCCAGCCTTGGCTTTCATCTTTCTTGACAGCTTTGAGATGGAGTTACTGTTCCATCCGGGAAGCGGGAAGAGGTCCTCAAGAATGTGAGCTTGATTTCCTCTAGGGAGCAATGCGACATTCCTCTGTGATTCAATAGGCTTCATGTTTTTAATCACATGGCACCCGCTGAGTTCATCATCAGGAAATGTAACAGATGATTTCCTTCTTTGGGTCCAAAGCTGACTGCAAGTCCGGGTTTTAGCTTTTAGGATGCATATACAGTCCTATTTGGGCTTGCTTACATGCTGCCCCCACCCTGTTGTATAATTCGGGTACTCACTCGCTTTCGGTGAGGACTGATCTCCAGCTTCATCACTGCGCACTTGTTTAAAGTGTTTAGTCGCCTACAGGGCAGAGAGAGAGAGAGAACATCAGCAAAGAAAGGAAGCCGCTAAAGGCAGGCAAACGTTTCTTCTAAACCATCCACACGTGTAATGAGCTTGCCTGAACCCATTTCTAATTTAGGCAAGTATGGTACACTTCTGTTATAGAATGAGTAATTTAGTCCTGGCACAGTATTGCACACCTTTAACCTCCGTACCCAGGAGGCAGAGGCATGTGGATCTCTTGAGTTTGAGGCCAGCCTGGTCTAGCTAGTGAGTTCTAGTCTCAAAAAATGTGAGTAACTTAAAGGTGCCTTTCTATTTCTTGCACTTGAGTAGATGGCCTACTGCAGATGAATGATGTCCACTCGAGGGGAGATCCAGATAGTGGTTAAGGAACGGAGGAAGGCTGTTGGCAAAATGATCAGTGTGTCCCATCTCACATCAAACAAGAATTAAAAAGGATGACAGGCCTCAGTCATCTCCAACAAACGACCATCTCAGAAGGTCATTTTACAGCTCTAGTTTATTATACTGAGAGGAAGTTCCAACCCTCTTTCATGCTCAATGCTTTACACGTTTTTCTATCAGCAGAGAATGTGTGCCGTACCAACAGCAATAGCACAAGGGATTATTGTTAAAATCTGTACACTACAGCCCCAGGTACCAAAACCTCACTGGGTTCAAACAGGCACTCAGATCACATTCTTTGGAACAGGAGTCAAACTGTAGCTTTGAACATTCGCCCCCTCGACAGGAACGTCCATTTAACATTAGAGAGACAGAGGTGGCAGTGTAGCTCAGTGATAGAGGACTTGCCTAGTACACACAAGGCTCCAGGTTCAATCCTTAGCACAATAGAATCAATCAATCAATCAATCAATCAATCAATCAATCAATCAACTTTATTAAAAATAAAATACTTAAACAGTCACAGGGGGGAAAAACACCCTTTATATACCCCCAAACTAGTGTGCATATAGTATGTGAGTGACAGGGTTCCAGGCCTTGGTTCTTCCGAACATCTTCCAGATGACCACCACTGAGCCTTCCTTAAATGATCCTTTTTAAAGGTGTCTGCTTGCTACCTCCTAAGCCTCATGAATCTCCCCATCGGTCTTCTATTTCTTTCTCAAGCTGCATCCTTACGTTTTCATGGACTAAGAGCGCTTAATTCCCTCCACTTCAAACTGATCCTGTGTACTCCTCCGGCTTTATCTCCCCCATCCTGCTCTGGTAACTTGTCTGACAACCTGGAGGCACCAGGATAGGCAGTATTGTCTGCAGCCTGATAAGGCTGCCTTTGACTCCACAGATTATGTGGAAGCCTGTTTATAGGGTAAACAGGGAGAAAGCAGAGCACCCATGTTCAGAAAATTCTCTCCATGGATGGGGAGGGGAGGAAAACAGCTGAGAAACACTGCAGACTCATGGCCAGGTGTAGGGTCCCCCTCTAAAGGGCATCAATTAAAGGACACACCCACTATTTTCAGTCCCCCAATCTTTTCAAGGCTTTAAGAATGAGGAATGGTTACAGTTAGTATTAGTCTGGGTTTCATTAATCAAACCTGTAATCAAATCTCCACTTGACTCCATTTGGGCTTTAATGGTTGACTGATGTTTATACCCAAATTTACTAGGCGTGGAGGCCTATGGGGGTGGTGGGGGAGGCAGAGCAACTTTACAAACTCCAGATGTGAGCCAAACAAAAAAGACTCAGAAGGTTAGTTTGATAAAGGTCAAGTTCATCTTTTTATGTTGGTAGCACCAAACTAATGGCATTGCATTCTTGAAGGCCACTGTTACTTTCAGGGTTTCTATGGTTTTCCTTTATTTCTCCTCACCAGCCCCCATTCCCCAGGATCTCCAAAGAAGGTTGACGAGGCGGGCCTGTCTACCTCTATACAGAGGGGCTATAGGGACGTAAGACAGTAGCTCTAGCCTGAGAAGAAACTCATCTCATAGAAGAGAACACTAGAGTGGTCACCAGAAGCTGGCAAGGGGCAGTGAGTCCCAAACAGGCCGGTAGCTAACGCAGCACAGAGATAGGAGGATTCGACATCATAGGGCCACTATAGTCAATATTAATTTTTTAAAATTTTAAAATAGCTAACTAGAATATTCTCAAGAAATGATAAAAGTACAAGGTAGTAGCTATGTTAATTCCCATGATTTGGTCATACCTTACATAGAAGTATTGAAACACCACATGCTACCACACAGATACTACAGTCATGCTATGTCAATTAAGAATTAAAAAAAAAAAAAATGGTTCTAGCTAGGTGACCTGCCACCTGGGTGAGGCACTGTGCTGGGTACTTCTAATGCACTGGCTCAAGCTTAGTCCTTAGACAAGCTTCCTAGAACAGATATTATGACTTATCTTTGTAAGGGATGAAAAGGGGCTTTAGGAGAGCCCAGGAATTTTGTTCAAGGACCCAGGATTAAAACACAGCATCTTCTACACTTGGTTCTGAAACAAGTATTAATGATAGTAAAAAGAATGGAAGCCAAGTAGATCTGAAGCAGCACCGTTCAAGTAAGCGGCTGAAATACTGCTGTCAATAATCATCTGTAGCCTCGGGCATTCATATCCCTGCCACCGCCCAGGGCCCGGCTCCAAAGGAATGTGTGGGTCTTATCTCCTGGGTAACTTGTGTCTGTTCTAAAGACAGAGAGGGAGCCAAGGGCGGACTATCAAAGGTTCAAGAGTTTTGCTGCCTGGAGCTGTAGGCATGTAGATAAAAGGATAGAGGTAGAGATCTGGGCCTCCTTGCATTTAAAATAAAAAGCAGAAGAAGGGTTAAGGAAACAAAGGACCCGACAAAAATTCTTCCAATTCTTACAGATTTTCTTGGAATTATACAAAATATGTTTAAATTATGTGTTGCTGAGGGTCATCCTAGCAGTTGGGAGGCTGAGGCAGGAGGATTGTTGAGTTCTAGCCCAGCTTGGGCTCCACAGCAAGATCCTGCTCCCAGCATCCCCTCTCACCCCCTCACCCAATTACTTGCTTCATTTTAAGCTGAAATGAAAAGAGCAACATGGTCAGAATGCCTCCGAAGGGCTGCTTGGCACGGCTTTGACATGTCATGGGTAGTTTGGGGACAAAGTCCGTACTGAAGACGACAGTGACAGACAATGTGGTTACCTTTTTCATTTGACAACTACTAGCTGATGTTGATGTTTCTTTCACGTGTTGGTAGAAGGAGTCAGTTTTAACTCCAAAGGGAAACAGCAGTGCGGAATGTTCCTGCAGCCACAGGAAGACGGAGGCAGCCCAGCACCGCTCACTGTCTGGATCAGTATGTGCTCTGAGACCAGCTGAGCACTCTTCCAGTCCTGAGCAGAACTTGCTCACAATCACAGCTTCCTCAATGGGTTTAGATGATTAGTGAAGCTAGCAAGACTGACTGACGGAAAAGCCATACTCTTCAAGGGAACAAGTCCATTGCTATCTTAGAATAACACTTTAAGTATGTTGGGTAAGCCTGGCGGAGGTGGCGCACGCCTTTATTCCCAGCACTTGGGAGGCAGAAGCAAGCGGATCTCAGTGAGTTCAAGGCCAGACTGGTCTACAGAGCAAGTTCTAGGACAGCTAAGGGCTACACAGAGAAACCCTGTCTCGGAAAAAAAAAAAAAAAAATGCTGGGTAACCTACTAGTCTCATAATTGTGATTTCTGGCCATTATTTAACTTTATATTTTGATAGTGCCATTGTTAAACTCATTCAATCCCTGCTTTTATGTCAAAGAGTTTTCTGCCCTGAATAAAAAAAAATATATTAAAAGAAATCAGCTCCCTTTAGCTTTTTATCACAGCTGTTGTATGACTTGCAAATATAGGAATGTGGATATTTTCTGTCCAAGTAGAAAGCTAACGTGACCGCATATAGAATGTGGCCCACTTCATGGGAGAACACTGGCTATGAGGAAGCACATGACACTTCCAACTGAGCCTCTACAACTCACCTGCTTAAACGTTTAAGTGGGGGAAAGACGGACGTCCACAAAAAGTCTGTCTACACACAACATCACAAGCCAAGAGGAGATATTTGTAAACACACCACAGCTCTGTCATCTGATGGCCCTGGAATTCCATGGGCGGAGGAAGTCTTTGCAGTAGGCATAGATAATAAAGTGAATGTCTGAAAACCTAAACGGGTGGGGGTGGCTCTTGAAATCTGCCTGCACCTCCCCTCTGTTTCCTTCTCTGAGGTCAAAGCCACTGCCATTATGTGACTATGTGGACAAGGGCCCTAGGGCTTTCATGCCCCAACATTTTGATGACTATTACTATGGGCCCTGAATAATCTCTCCCTTTTAATTAGAAAGTGATTTTTTTTTTGAGGCAAGATTTTGCTGTTTAGCCCAGACTGGCTTTGAAACCAACAGGCCCCCTCTCCCCCGCCCCCAATTTTTTCCCTCTGCCTCCCTAGGGCTGAGATGATAGTGAACATTTATTACATGCTGAATAAGAATTTCCTTTTAAAAAAGTAAGCTCAAGCCTGGGCTTTTCTGCACATCCTCCAAACTGGGTCTGATGATTTCTTCTTTTCCACTCTCATACCTAAGCTATACGGGATGTGTTAGTCTATACATATGAGGGGAAACTGAAGCTGACCCAGAATACATGGCCAAGCTTGAACACAGATGAAGGACCAGGTTCCTTCAGGCCCTTCTTTGCTTGGATCTAGTCTCTTCCGTGGGAAGTGGCTTCTCTTAGAAGGTGGTATTTAGAGTCGGTGTCAATCAAATTTTAGATGTGCGTTTTTCCTTTGAAAAAGGAAAAAGTTGATTTCGAACTGACATTCAAGAAAAATTCTTAAAAAAAAAAAAGAATTCTTCAAGAATTTAATCGTAACTCTTTGGGCTGAAATACTGCAATGGTATTTTTCTGGCCCAGACATTCCTGAGCTGTTGATGTAGTTCAGAAGGCTGACTCCCTAAGTGGCTTACCATGTGTGATGTGACACAAAGCTCAAGTTATTTCCTGAGATGCCTTTTCTGAGTGACCTCATTCATATGCATGAGCATCAGTGATGATTTGAGAATAAATTAATTCTGCCACCCAGCTAAGGAGGAAAACATCTTCACAATGTCGGCCAGGGCAGTTCAGATTCCAGATGCTGACTTCTCTCCCTCTCCAAACTGCACTGGTGACATTTTTCATTCCAGATGACATAGTGATGGTATTACGTACTCCAGGACACAAATTCACTTTTCCCAGAAAAAGGCCTGCATGCCCTGGACACTTATGACTAAAGCTGCACACTGTTTCTGGGGGGTAAATATGGCTCTTTTTCTTTCTTTCATAAACTATGAAATCTAGTCTTTTCCATATTCTCTAAACATATAATCTACCTTTTCCCAAAACCATACTACTCAAGCTGGCTGTTTCAAACAACATTATATGAGAGAGAGAGAGAGAGAGAGAGAGACAGACAGACAGACAGACAGACAGAGACAGAGAGACAGAGAGACAGAGAGCTGTTACTGTGTTCTTTATCTACATAGGAAAAAGAAATACCAGATATCATTTCACCTTAAGATGTTTTCCCCAGTTAAAACAGACACTGAAATTAGGGACTGGATAGAGAGTCCAGCCATAGTAAACACGAGGGCCTGGGTTTGGGTTTCCTGCATCCAGGTAAAAGTCAGGCATCACAGCATTGGAGCCCACTGGCTCGCCTGTCTAGCTGGATTGGTGAGCTCTGGGTTCAATTAAAGACCTAGCTTCAAAAAAACGAGAGACAGGACAACAGAGGAGGACACTGGACACTGACCTCACCAAGCATGCACACAGGTGTGTACACATACACACACACACACACGAATATTTAAGGTATTTTAGGAGTCATTCAAAGAGAATTGATTTAAACTTTAGAATCCAATCAACAACATGTGAATTCTGTCTATGCCTTTTCTTCTCCTCAGAACCCGGCTATGAAGGCTTTTCAAGGGTTTCGAGGAAAATTACTAGGGATGAATAATGGGAGACGAATAAAAATGTCATCCAGGGTTTGAAAGGATTATCCGAGGCCCTGGTAGCCTCTGGTTTTATGTCTTTCACTTCCCTAAATCCCACAAGCTGCGTCTCAGCCCGGAGAGCAGGCAGCTCACTGAACAGGACCTCTGACAGCTTTATTCACAGTTCCCATCAGTGCCCGTTTACTGCCTGTCTCCCGTACATTAAAGACCTTGCTCAGCGAGTTTACAGCCTATTTAATCCTGTCATCACTCTACCTGGGGCAGATGCGGCTTCTGAGAAGCCTCCTTGGGATTCAGATGACAACCCCAACTGGCTCTCCTAAGCCCTGCCCCTCTCAATGTCTCATGCCACTCAGTACAGTGGCAGCTTTGACCCCCATGGTGCTCGTGGTCAGGGACAATGACTCTTCAGAAAGTCCTCATTTCCGAACCACCATAAAGTTTGCTGTTTCTGCCATCACGTGGTAACAAAATGTGGGATGGTGCTATGTGAGGGCCTCGGAAGACCGTGTGGATGCTATTTCAATGATGATATTACATAACAGCATTTCACTGTAGTGCTCATCCAACGCTCTACAACACAGCAACATTAGTCATTGTATCATCTGATCACTGAAGAACTCAAGCAGATCAAATGGAAAGCAAGCCAAGGCGGAGAGAGGAGTACCATTTCTACTTGCTTATTTTTAAATTTTTTTCCTGAGACAGGGTCTCTCAGTGTAGCCCCGGCTGGCCTTGAACCTGAGATTGGACTGCCTCTGCCCCGCTGAGTGCCGAGATTAAAGTACCATGTTTTTAAGAGAAAGGAAAATGTCCATTTACCTGCATAGAGCCTCGATGGCATCTCTGTCCAAGAAGTCATGTTCTCTCTTGACCAGAGAAATATCAATAGGGAACAGGAGATCTGTAGAGAGAATAAAAACAGGCACCTTTGAGCACTTAGGATCTTGTCAAATTAGCCTCTTTTGGCAATGTGCTGAGTATCTAGGTTCACATGGCTCCTCACTCCCTGGCAGGCTATGTGGGCACATGCAACAATACCATGCGTGGTTTAAACCAGTTCTAAAGTAGTTCAGAAACTCCAAGTTGTTCCTCTGTCGCAGAAGTGGTTCAAAACACTTTCCTCCTTCAAACTAATGAGCAGGCAGTAAATGCCTGCTCTAAGTTATATATAATTTAAGCCAGAAAGAATCCAGTAAGGAGTCTCCTTGCCATGAGTTAAAAAAAAATGTCTTTGCTCACATGATTTCAGGGAAGGGAGCCACGGGGAAAAAACAAAAGCAAAAACACAAAACAGAACCAGGAACAGGAGAGATTCAGGGAACAATGGCAGCGGGCAGCTGGAGGGACCGGTCCATTTACATGATAGGATACACAGCGGAGAATTCAAGACAGGCTGCTTCCAAACAAAGACTAGCACTTCCATGTGGCGACCCAAGGGTTAACTCCTGGTAAAACAAAGGACTGACTATACAGTTACTGTAAAACAATAGCAACCGAGCCCCTAAACCTGTCAGAGCCCAGTGCTCTCAGAACAATGCACCCACCGCTTGCATCAGACGACTGAAAGCAGGAAGAATTTCTCTCAGCTGCTTGGAGAGAGGGTGAACTAGTGGGTTACAAGCCTGGGAACCTGGGGGTGACAGGGGGAAGGATGGGGAGGGATGGAGAGAGGCTGCTCACAAGGTGCAGATGGGAAGTTGGCTTGGAGGAATCATGACCAAAGCTGTGGTGTTACTAAGACACCTATGAGTGGCCGCGATTGTATTTTTTCAAAATGGCTAGTAGACAGAGGATTATGAATGTTCCCGCCCCTGAGACAAAGCAGCAATAAATATTTGAGACAGCAATGCAGATTACCCTGTTCTGATTACTACATATTATAGAACATGTAATATAAAGGCACACCAAGCTTTACACATATATACGATTACTATGTGTCAACCGGAAATGGAAAAAAGTTGAATATGCTTCTTGGGTTCAGGAGTTTGAAATAAAAATCCCTTCAATTACCAGACGTGATGGCACATGCCTTTAATCACAGCAGAGGCAGGCAGATCTCTGTGAATTTCAGGCCAGCCTGGTATACCTAGAGGTTTCAGACCAGCCAGAATTATAGTGAAACCCTGTGGATAAATGCACCCAACAGAGCAGAGAGGAGAAAGATACCAGGAATGATGACAAGAGCCTAGAATTCCACTGGGTAACGCAGGCCAGCTATGAATGTTGATAAATGGCCTTCCCAGTAGAAGGCACATACAGTGTCCCAACTCTATGCTTCTTTGTGGGTCCATCATTCCATCCTCTTCCTCCTCCTCCTCCTTTACACAATTCCCTTGGTCGGAAAATGCATTGCTGGGACACAATCCTTGTTGTGTTTCTGAGTTGACTTCAATGTTCCTATCTTACAACCACTGGTTTTACAGAATGGTACAGAATTCCTCATTTCTAAGGCATCTGTTTTCTAAGGATAACATTTACAGCATCTTTTCAAGCTATCTTGGTATTTGTTTACCATCTGCTTTTTTTTTTTTTTTTTTCTGGAGGTAAGGGTTGGATTACTCTTACCCTGATAATACATGCAGACCCAGGACATAGTTAAAGCTCAAAGGCCAGTGAAGATATGTATGAAAATATGTATGAAATTTAGTATTCCAAGCTTGCACGTCTTCATCAGTAGACAGAGGGATGGCCAGTGACACTGTCATCGTGACCAACCACTCAGAGGAGGCTAACAGGGAACATGAATGCACAGTACTAAACAGAACCAAGGCCATAGAGCCTGCCCCTTAGGGATTCAGACGCTATTAAACAATAAGCCAAGATCAGACAATACCTTTTTAGATAGTCTATAACACAAAATCTATGAACGTAAATGGAAAGTGTTACTTCCTTGCCTATTGGGCATACATGGAAAAGCAACCATGCTGTTGTAGCTATTTCTAAGTTCCTGTGCTATACTTAAGGTCATTTTTCCGAGCCACATGAACAACAATTCCGTTTTTTTTTTTTTAAAAAAATCCAATAATGAGTAACTAACTGTGAGGAATGCAAGAATTTAATCAATTTTTTTTTCTTATTTGCCTAGACTGTTTATTGAAGGAACCGGTTTTTTTTTTTTTTTTTTTTTCTATGAACTAGAGAGAAGCTAGCAAGTAGTCTTTTTCCAAGGGACAGTTGAGAGCTGCCCTGTGGGTGCTGGGAATTGAACCCGGGTCTACCAGAAGAGCAGCCACTGCTCCCAACTACTGAGCCATCTCTCTAGCCCAGGAACCGGTTTTTAAAAGATGATGGGTTTACCTGATGGGTAAAAGTGGTCTGAACCCACCTTCCAGCTTGGGTTTAGAGGGAGGATGTGAAAATAGGCAGGCACCAAATGGTGCTAATCGGGAAGAGGAGGGGTCTGTGGGTTGCCATGCCACCCGCTGTGTGTGTTCTGCTCACCTGGCATGGGGCAGGATGAGGTGGGAAATGGTTGCCCAGAGCATGGCACAGGACACCCCAGAGTCAGCCTATGCTTTTACAGGACTTGGACAGGTGCAGGGGATATCAACCAGGAGCCTGCATTTGAGGACTTTAAGACAGGGGGCTAGGAATTGGATTTACCAAATCCAACAGGCACAAGAAGGTGCCACCCAGCAATGAATCAACACCCCAAAAGGACATAATTGAAGGAAATTGAATCTTAAAGAGGAAAACAAAAGCCCAGCCACTGCCAATCCAATTAGCTTTCCCTAGCTCCAGGGGAGCTGGAAATGAGAGAGAGCAAGTTCTTGTCCTGCTTCCCCCTCCAAAGTCCCGCAAGAGGTCAGAGGTTGTCTGAAGGGAAGTAACGCCACCACATTAAGCATCGCGTCAAAAATCAAAATAAAAGAACGGTAAGAAATTGCATATACGCTGTGAAGTTGAGGGTCAGGAAGCTGTCTCAGAACGTAAAAGTAAATAATCACTGAGTGCTACCAGAAAGATTATGTAATTAAGGTTAGGAATCACTCCACACCTCACTTTATTTGAAAATTACCTACGAGATCAGAGCCTTCACCCCTACATTCTAGTGTCTTCGGTATAGGAAGGGACTCTGTACGCTACCAAAAGAGAAACGGAAAAGCTAACCCAGCCACAAACCCTTTGATCTACAAGAGTGTCCTGCCTGCAAGATAGGCTAGGGCAATGATGGCACAAAGCTTGTGGGAGTCACCAACCAACCAAGATCTGATGTGGCTTAAGGACCCACTCCATGAAATGGAACCCATACCGGACCACTGCTGAGGTGTGCAAGAATCTGAGACTAGAGAGCCCAGGGACCTTGGGTTAAAAAAAAAAACAAAACAAAACCCAACCAACCAACCACCCAAACAAAAACCCTGTAGCAATAAAAGGACTTCTAAAGACACTTTGCTATACTCATAGATCAGCACCTTGCTCAGCCATCATCAGAGAAGCCTCCCCCTGCAGCAGATGGAAACAAATACAGAGACCTACAGTCAGACATTATGTAGAGAATGAGAGACCTTGGAACACTCAACTCAGCCCTAAATGGGTGAGAGTTTCTCCCTCCAGGTTCCTGCTGCTTGAGTTCCTGCCCTGACATCAACATCCTTCCCCTCAGGACCCAAGGAATCCTGCAGTAGAGTCAGAGTTCAGTTGTATTGAGAGAGAGAGAGAGAGAGGGAGGGGGAGGGGAGGGGGAGGGGGAATCAACGAGGTGGGGAGGAAAACATAATCAAAATACACTATATAAAAAAATTAAACAAATAAAAATAATAAGAAACTTTAAATCTTCCAAAAAATGTCTATAAAATGGAGTTCACTCTTTCAAAGCTGTGGTCATTATAAAATAATTTCATATACAGATAATAGGTCTCTCATTTAAATGAAAAGCTAATTCATCTCAATGGAAGCACAGCACTTGATATCGGCTTATGGAACCAGAGACTCAGAGAATGAGTTAGACAGGACTGCCCTTTCTCTGTCCCTAGCATCCTGTCAACTGGACACAAGCCAGGGTCCTGTAGGAACAGAGAACAATGGAGAAGACGCCTCTATCAGATTGGCCTGTAGGCAAGTCTGTGTTGGATTTTCTTGATTGATGATTGATTTGGGAGGGTCCAGCCCACTGTGGGCGGGGCCGCCCTCAGGCAGGTGCTCCTGGGGACCATAAGAAAGCAAGGGGTAAGCAGCATTCCTCCCTGGCTTCTGATTCAGTTCCTCCCTTCAGGTTCCCGCCCTGACTTCTCTTGGTGATGGGGTGAGCTGCCAAGATGAAATAAACCCTACACTCTGCAAGGTGCTTTTGGTTATATTGCTTATCGCAGTGGCAAAAGAAGCAATCTAGTACGGTGACCTTCTTAACTTTAATTTTCCCTTTTCTATTTTGGTGTGTGGGGGAAAGCTAGGGCATGTGCTATGGGAAAACGCACACGACAAAATGGAATATGTGCACTGCCGTTCATTATACAGAAACCTTATTTATTCTAGGTTTGTGCAAGTTAAGTTATTACGCACGTGTTACCAAAGAAAGACGCACGAATGTTCAAAAGTAACAGTTTATAAAAAAAATAAAACAACTGAAATGCTCACCAACCAGAACAGAGACAGAATGCTCTTCAGTCCATTTGATGGGGGTATTATACAGTAGTCAAAGAAAATGAGCTACGGAGACATACGGGTTAGAGGAATCTTAATATACGAACAAATTAAATCTGCATAGTACCCTTTTTTTTCCTTTTTTGAAAAGCTAGACTTTACACACAGTATGCCTTTCAAAAACTTCAATAAAATTACAGAAAATGAGAACACAAAAACCAGTGTTTTGGGGGTCATGGGTTACTCCTTGCAGTGGGACACGACAATTCCGTTATTGCCTAGATTCTGTTTCTCTTTTGTTTTGAATGGTGCGAGTCTTGGGTTCTTAGGCCATTTTTTAAAAAAATGAGATATTTAACTAAGTAACAAAATGTCTCCAAATAACTTCTGGATCCATGAAGTCGGTGTTAGGACGATGCCGACTTAGTTAAACTAAGACGGTACTCTGGCCTTACCTTCATAAAGCTGTGCATACTGGGGAAATCCAGTTACCCGCAGCCAATCGCACGCTTCCTTGGCTTCAATTTCTAGAGACAAACAGAAGACGCATTTGTTAGCCACGTTAGCCCTCCACGTGCTTTCCTGCATTAAGAAACTGATTTGATCAGACAAGTAATATACAACTTCTGCAACACAATATATCACGAATAAATGAAACAATTAGTAACTGCAAAGACCAATATATATACCGATAGGCAAAGGAACCGACCAAAAATCCAGTTAATAACAAATGGCTTACATTTTATACATGTTTCCATCTCTTTTAAATGAACGTAATGATACGTTTTCTCTGTAAAGAAAACAGAAGGGGCTAGCGCTGTAACTTAGTGGTCTAGCCCTGCCTAAGGCCCTGGGATTGATCCCCAGTGCTGCAGAAATCCAAACAAACAAACAAAATCCAAGATGGGTTCTCCCAGCAGTAAGTTGCTCCCTGCTGCTTCTGGACACGCTTCCAAAACACACAACCCGATCAAAGTGCAGAAGGGGTTGAATAACTAATTGGAAGCCCAGTTGGTCTAACAAGATATATTACTTTCCATTTCAACACAAACCCACCAGATACACCCTCACACCCCGAGCAGAACTTGACTGGGCACAGTTACAGCCCTTGTGACGCTTGTGGACTGAGCATTTTAACAGCCAAAGACTATGACAATGTGCCTTCAGGAGCACTAGTATTCCTCAGCAGGAGAGAGGCCCAGGCTGCCTCAGGAAACCGAGGGCGTGACGTCACTAAATCCCAGCGCCTTGGCAGGCTGATGGCCTAATAAAGGCTCCCTTTCCCTGTGGTTAAACATCTTGTAGATAGTATTGATAAACAGAGAGGCCAAGAGCAACTGACACACTGTGTTAAAACTCACTCAAGCACGTATTTACAATCCTGTTAAAACTGACTCACAGTGGTGGTCCTGGACACATTAATTAGTTTCTGTGTTTGCACAGAGAATATTCCTTTCAACTCCTCTTCCCACCTTCTTCAGGCCATTAGAGTGCTTGGTTATTTAAGACTATTCACTTTATAGAAGTCTCGACATTGCTTAATCAATCCCAGACTGCCATCTTCATTAAGCCAGATGTCAGTCTGCTGGCCACTATTACAAATACACATACCACAGCACTTGTGTCCACTAAAACTTTAAGCTTTCCAACTTCTCTTTTTTTTTTTTTTTTTAATTTTAACTTACGCTTTTTCCTTGTCATTTCAAGAACAGCAACTTTGAAAAAACTTTTAATTCATCAAGGCGGGTAGGAATATCGTTACTGCGCACACCAAGGAGCAGACAAGCCGTGATTTCCCAAGCTAGTTAATTAATACCCAGCTGAAATGAGGATAACACTGTTAATAAACAGCATCTTAGGGGCTGCTTGCTTGAGTCATTTTAGTGTAGAGAGGAGGGTAGTATGACTAAACACAAGACTCAAGACTTGCTGGGGAAAGAGGCCAGAGGGGTATCGATGCAGAGCGGAACATTGCTTGCACTGGCTATGGGTATACAGATGTGAATGACCTGAGCCCAAACAGTCTTCTTCATGTATTTATTTTTTAGTTAAAATTATTGCATTTATTATTTTGTATTTGTGTGTATGCAAGTGGGCATGTGTGCTAAGGGGTGGACGTCAGAGGACAATTTGTGGACATCGGTTCTCTCCTTCTACCATACAGATATGAGACAGATCTCATCGGGCTTGGGGACAAGCACATGCTGAACCATCTTGGCAGGGCTCATGTATTTTTTTTTTTTTAATCCATGTCTTGTCTTCATGGGGTTTGAGGGAGTTTAAATAAGACTATAAAACAGCTTCTAGAAGAGTATTGTAAGACTGAAAAACATGAACGCTTAAAATTTTACTTTAAAGACTATGAAAATCACATTTTCCCTCTGTGTAGTCCTGCTGACTCCCAAAGATGACCACAGAAAGAAAAAAAGGCTGCTTGTTTTAAACAACCTGTTTTATTTTTTAATTACTTCTATTATTTTTGGAAATGATATTCCACCATTTGTCCCTCTCCTTTTCCCATCCAATACCTCTCAAATACCCCTCCTTGCTCTCTTACAAATTTATGGCTTTTAAAAAATTATTTTATGTGTATGGGTGTTTGCCTGCATGTAGATCTGTGTACCCCACATGTGCTTGGTACACAGGGAGATCAGAGGAGGGTGTCGGATTCCCTGGATCTGGAGTTAGAGATGGCTGTGAGCCACTGTGTGGGTGCTGGGAATGGAACCCAGGTCCTCTAAAAGAACAACAAGCACTCTAAACAACTCAGCCATCTCTCCAGCCCCACAAATTCATGGCCTCTTAGAAACATATTCAAAATAACTCACTGTTACTGTGTCCTTAGAGAATATTTCCAAAGAACAGGCTATTGGACATTGGATAATTGATAGTTAAAAAGCAGTATTTACTTTCTTATTATTTCACTCAAAAAATGTCAAGTAACTAGAAATTCTAAGCATCCGTCCATTTGGGGGCACATGTAGACAGGGCACCAGAGCAGTGCACATACAAAGGCTTCATCAGGCACCAGCTTCTAAGATTCTGACACCCAGTTACAGCATGTTCTTGATTTTTCTCGTTTAAGTGGCTTCGCGTTGAAAGGTGTGAAAGAGGCAGTGTATTTTTCTAAACCATCTTTACATCTGTCAGTGTAAGCCTTCACACATTACGAGAACTTTTCACATACATTAATCACTTAAGGTCCCACGCAATTTCAGAAACATCCAGATGTGTACAGCTGGCTTGTGTCTCAGTCATTTACGTCTATCCTTAAGAAAATGGTATGTGCTCGTATAACCCCAAATTGATGTCACCCAGTCACTTTTAGGGCCACCCGGTTAGAAAACAAATGGTGTGAGCTGGGGAGCTGGCTCTGTGGGTGAGAGCATTTGCTCTGCAAGCATGAGGCCCTGAGTTCAAATCCCGGCACCCCTGTAGATAGAAACTACACAGAGAGGTGGATCTGAGGAGCTCTAGACGAGCCAGAGCCTTCCGCACACCAGTTCACTTCCTCACACTGCTCCTAATACACGCACATTTCACACGCAAGAGCAAAGATCCTGACAGACCGGCAGAAATAGTCAGCCACCTCTCCTTAAAAAAAAACGAGCTCCATGTCCCAGATGAGAGAGGAAACTGGGGCCTCAAAGAATGCTAGTTTGTATAGAGTAGGCTTTTCCTCCTTTGCCGGGGGGCGGAGGGGGGGGGTGACGTAGTAAGGGAAAAAGTTTAAGATATTGAAGAAGAACCAGGGAGATGGATGCTGGGTTAACGGTGTTCTTGCACAAGTCTGGTTACCTGAGATCAATCCTGGAGCCCGTGGTGGAGAGAACTGATGTCCGAAAGCTGTACTCTGACCTACACACACACACACACACACACACACACACACACACACACACACACACACACACACACACTGCAGAGAACACCATATGTCCGTTAGCCAGTCACTTTAGCACCCCCCCATCCCCCCCACCCCCCGCTCATTGTGAACTCCCCCCTGCTCCAGGGGTTCTTGAGTGCAGGTGTGTGGTGTTCTGGGAGCAAGGAGGATGCTGTTTCTAAAACAGAGAGGCCACCACAGACTTGAAAGCACAAGGGCAACACAATGAAGCTTGTAGACCAGGGGCTCTGCTTAAGCAAGCAACGCACAAATCTGAGAAGGAGGAAACAGGAAGTTTTTCTTGGAAGCAGCTTCGTCGTTGTTGGTCATTCACAGAGCCGTTCTGCACATGAGATGAATGAGTGTGGAGACCCTTAGCCCATATTCACACATTTCCTGGCCGGCGCGCATGGTCCCATCTTCTTCTCACCGCACCTTTACTGTAAGTCCGCTGACTTTCTCTGAGCCGGCAGCCATGCAGCTGCTGAGCTCGGCCCATCCGAGCAGGTCAAGCGACAGCCCAGGAGTCTAAGTGGGCTGCAATACTTCCACAGTGGGAGCTTGCGGGATTTCTTTCCTTCTTTCCCAACAGGCCCATCACAGACTACAGCAAATCTGGTCCTTCCAAGACATGCTAAGGAACTGGGGAATGCTCTGAAAACGCAAGCACCTTCCTCAGTTCCATGGAAGTCCTCTGAGATAAGACAGATGTGTGTGTGCAAAGGTTCACGTGTACAGAGAGCTGCTCTAGCTATGGGCAGGCAAGCGGGGCTTTCAAATCCAAACCAAGAGGCATTCCTGCCCTTGGGTGAGTGGGATTCCTTCAAAAGGGAAGAAAGGGCAGCTTATCAGGCTCTCTTCACCAGGTCAAGGAGCTCAGCAGTGCACACAATGGCTTTAGTAACAGTCACCTTCACTTCGTGGGTGGGGCTCATGGGGTGGGTCATCGGGAGAAGCATCCAGGTCCACAAATGAGTACAGTAAGGTAGGAAGGCATCAGGGGCCATAGTGATTCTCCATGAAAATAAGTTTTTGTTTGGGGGGGGGGGTCACCACAACATGAGGAACTGAATTAAAGGGCCGCAGCATTAAGAAGGTTGAGAGTCACTGCTCGACTGTATTCTTTTGTCCAGGATTCCTCCTCTGAATCCAACAACTCTTGGTTAAACCTCTCCCTCTCCCCACCGTCAACAAGCTCCATGAACTACAACTATCTAGACTGGTTTTCGCTAATCACATATTTCTGCTTGTAACTGTTCAATGACTTCCTATCACCTTTGAGTTACAATTCAAGCCCCTCAGCAAAGTCCTTGGGCCCTTCCTAACTTGGCCTCTGCCTGTCTCTTCAGATCCTGAAAGGCTTCCAAAGGTAAGCTCTCTGAGTTCTCAGGATGCCCTGGCTATCAAGGGCCCATGTTCTCTCTTCAGACTCCAATAAATACCCTCTCTTTCACCTCACAAACACCCCCCCTTTTAATTCAGGTACACCCCCAAACACTCCCTTTTGTACACTAGAACCACTCAGATATATGTCTTAAAAATGCAAAGGCAAAAAAAGTTCGCTAATACTTTCATTTCTTCAAAGGCAGACTAAGAACTTGCACTTGACAACTATAAAAATAAATGTTAAGCACACACAAC